GAAGACAGTTACACTTGAGGATGATAGTGGGTTAGATCCCTGGATTAGGGGTGTATGTGGAGGTCCTTTCAAGGACATGCGTCTCCCAGCTGTACCTGGTCACCTTTCTGTATTATATGATGATGGTCAAGGTCAACCCATACACTAGTAAGTAATAGGGATAGGAGCCAATTCTGAACTTTACTGGGAGCGATGGGAATTTGTCGAGAGGGTTTTTAAAAGACTGACGTGATCTGATCTCTATTATTCTGGCTGCTTTGAGAGAATAGATTTTAGAGAATCCAAGGTGGCAGCAGGGAGCCCATTTTGGGAGGCTGTTGCAGTGATTCAGGCAAGAGATAATGGTGGTGGGAACCAGGTGGGAGCAGAGAAGATAGTGAGAAGTGTTGTGCTGGATATATTTGAAGGCAGTGCTAAGAGGATTCTTGAACTGTTGGATGCAGGATGTGACAAAGAGAAGCTAAGAGGATTCTTGAACTATTTGGATATAGGATGTAAGAAAAAGAGGAGTCAAGGTTACCTTCACAATTTTTCTCCTGGACAACTAACTGCTGGTGAATTTTTGATCATTTTACAGCACAAAATGATGAGGTAGTGGAAGGTTTTACTGTGCTGTAAGTTACAATGAATGAACTAGAGGTGTAAGTATCAAAACTTTGATGCACTGAAACAATGCTAAGGAAAAAAACAAGCTTCAGAATGTACATCCAATAGAATACAATTTATATAAATTTGTAAGGCTTGCAAACAGGATTGTGTAAGCCCCATATATAGATGGCAAAAGTGCAAAGACAAATACAGAACAATTAGAGCCAGGGTTGAGCCCCATCTGGGAGCCTCACACTTAAAAAAAAAAACAAAACAAAACAAACAAAACCATTGCTCAGTCCAGATCCTAGTCCAGTTAAACCAGAATCTCTGGGGATGGATCCAGGCATCAGTGTTCTTCGGAGCTCCCTTGGGGATTCTAGTATGTAGGCATGGTGGAAAACCACTGCCTAAAATTGACAATTTTGACATCTTTAATAAGCAGAGGAATTTTCCCCTTTCATGCTAAGCCTTGGTCCGTGTTTGTTTTGAAGTTAGTTAAGAGACACCCGTGCCCTAATTTCCAAGATGTTCAGCCAGGAAACATGAATAAAGTCTCCCAAGAGGCAGTTGAGCCCAGAACGTGGTCTTCCAAAATCGGTTTCCAGTAAAGGCAACTCTTTGGGAAAATGACTGCTTGCAGAGTTAGGGCAGAAAGTGTACAAGATGAGCATGTAGCATCTTGTTGTACCAGATGCCAGGCAAGTTCTCAATGACCACTGAGGGCATGGATAAAGGACAGACTCGGGAGACAACTCTCAGTCGCCAAAGATGGGACTCTCTAAGCATCAGTAAGAATAATGGCAATGAATTAAAACACATCAGGTATATTTGAATCAATGAGTTCATAGTGATCCTTAAATTAAAAGAAAATCTCTGGATGATGCTAAGAAAGCAACTCATTTAGAAACCTGGTAAAGAAAGACAAGCATTTATCCTGCCTTTGTTACTTGAAAGTAACCAGAGGTGATGATTGAAGTTTCTCATTACAGAAGCACTCGTTAAGGCACAGGTCCAGTCATAATTAGAGTGAGAGTTGCCAAGGGGTGGCCAATGGGAGACTCCTGAGTCCCAAAAATGCCTCCCTGAGTCTGTCCATAGGGCAGCTCCTTGCAGAGCTTTCTTCCATCAGAGGATGCCTTTAATTGTACTCTTCAGCAAGATGTGTGGTTCCCGCTTCCTACACTAAATGCTCTCCCAGCACAGTTGGAGTCAGTCAAAAGTCTTGATCTTGGGGCCAGGTGCGGTGGCTTGTGCCTGTAATCCTAGCACTCTGGAGGCTGATGCAGGCAGATCACTTGAGGCCCAGAGTTCAAGACCAGCCTGGCCAACATGCTGAAACCTTGTTCTACTGAAAATGCAAAAATTAGCCGGCGTGGTAGTGTGCGCCTGTAGTCCCAGCTACTCAGGAGGCTGAGGCAGGAGAATTATTTGAACCCAGGAGGCGGAGGTTGCAGTGAGCCGAGATGGTGCCACTGCACTCCAGCCTGGCCAACAGAGCGAGACTCCGTCTCAAAACACACACACACACACACACACACACACACACACACACACAAAATATAACAAATGTTGGAAAGGATGTGGAGAAAAGGGAGCCCTTACACACTGTTAGCAGGAATGTAAATTGATACAGCCATTATGGAAAACAGTATAGAGTTCCTTAATATAGAGTTCCTATATGATCCAGCAATCTCACTACTGGGTATTTATCCAAAGGAAATGAAACCAGTATGTTGAAGAGATACCTGCATTTTACGTTCTTTGCAGCGTTATTCACAATAGCCAAGATACAGAATCAAGATAAGTATATATCAGTGGATGAATGGCTTTAAAAAAAATGTGGTATATGTACACAATGGAGTACTTTTCAGCTTTTAAAAAGAAGGAAATGTAACACTAGGTGTGGTGGTACACAGGTAGTTCCAGCTACTTACTCAGGAGGCTGAGATGGGAAGATTGCTGGAGCCCAAGAGTTTGAGACCAGCTTGGGCAACATAGCCACACCCCATCTTTTAAAAATAATAAAATAAGAAGGAAGTTCTGTCATTTGGGACAACATGAATGAACCTGGAGGCCCGTATGTTAAGTGAGATCATGCGGTATTTGTCTTTCTGTGCCTGGCTTATTTCACTTATTTGTGGAATCTATTATTATTATTATTATTTTCAAAAATTGAACCCATAGGCTGGGCTTGGTGGCTTATGCCTATTATCCTAGCACTTCGGGAGGGTGAGGCCGGTGGATCACCTGAGGTCAGGAGTTTGAGACCAGCCTGGCCAACATGGTGAAACCCTGTCTCTACTAAAAATACAAAAATTAGCCGGGCACGGTGGCAGGCACCTGTAAAATCCCAGCTACTTGAGAGTTTGAGGTGGGAGAATCACTTGAATCTGGGAGGTGGAGGTTGCAGAGAGCCAGGACCACACCATAACACTCCAGCCAGGGCAATAGAGCAAGGCTCTATCTCAAAAAAGAAAAAAAGAACCCATAAAAGCAGAGAGTAGAATGCTGGTGGATGGTGAGATCCTGCACATTGTATGAGCTGGGGGTGCCACTGGGTATCACTCCTGGGAATGAGATGCACCATTGGGCCAGCAGCCCAAAGCTGTACACCAGGCTAAGTAGGGAGCCTGCCAGGAGGTGTAACTGACTCTGGGTTTATGTTCGCTATGAGCTCTTTGGTACCTACCTCGGAGTCAGTGCTCATAAAACAATGATAAGCACTCTGTCCCTGAGCATGGCAGATGGTGCCTCCTTCACTACCACTGTCTTGGCAGCCCTGCAGGCACCCTCTTTTCCCTTGGGAAGGTTGTTTTACATACCAATATTGCTCTAGACTCTTTCAGCCCAAGTGGGAGGAGTGCCTGCGATTGTTAACACCTCTTGCTATACCTGGATAAACACATCGGGTTTCATAGAAACACCAGTAGGCAGGGCACGGTGGCTCACGCTCATAATCCCAGCACTTTGGGAGGCTGAGGTGGGCAGATCACCCGAGGTCAGGAGTTCGAGATCAGCCTAGCCAACATAGTGAAACCCTGTCTCTACTGAAAATAAAAAAGTTAGCCAGGCATGGTGGCAGGCGCCTATAATCCCAGCTACTCAGAGGCTGAGGCAGGAGAATTGCTTGAACCCCAGGAGGCAGAGGTTGCAATGAGCAGTGAGCCGAGGTCATGCCATTGCACTCCAGCCTGGGCGACAAGAGCAAAACTCTGTCGAAAGAAGGAAGGAAGGAAGGAGGGAGGGAGGGAGGGAGGGAGGGAAGGAAGGAAGGAAGGAAGGAAGGAAGGAAGGAAGGAAGGAAGGAAGGAAGGAGAAAGAAAAAGAAAGAAAGAAAGAAGGAAAGAAAGAAAGAAAGAAAGAAAGAAAGAAAGAAAGAAAGACCAGTAGAGGAAATTTAGGAGCAGGCCCACTGGCTGCAGACAGTGGGGCCACCTGAAGCGTCCTTCTTTGACTTCCTTAGCAACTTCTTACCTGGATTGCTGGGTCCTAGGCTAGGTCATGCTCCAGGCAGCCCTGATCATTCTGTTGTAATAGGGGTCTTCCTGGGCCTCGTGAAATGGATTCTGACTATGGCTCAATGATGTTGCACTGAGATTGTGTCAGTTAAGATAATATTGAACCGATGAGACAAACCTCTGCCTTCAAATCCAGGGAGGTTGGTGGCATATGAAATCGACCAGTTTTGTTAAGGGGGATATCTGAGTTTCCAGTGGACTACAAGGCCATTCTCTTGGTGGCCTTGGATTGACCCAGTTCTCCCAACTTTCTCACTGTAATTCTCAAGAATAACTATAGAATGTGCTGGGAATGCATAGCCTGAGGTCAGGAGGAACTGGCCAGAACAGCCTGGGCTCATTCCTGTCCCCACTATGAAAGAATGCCCTTCAGGCTGGGCATGTGGCTCATGCCTGTAATCCCAGCAGTTTGGGAGGCTGAGGCAGGCAGATCACCTGAGGTCAGGAGTTCAAGACCAGCCTGGCCAACATGATGAAACCCTGTCACTTCTGAAAATACAAAAATTAGCTGGGTGTGGTGGCGTGTGCCTGTAATCTTGGTTACTCGGGAACCTGAGGCAGTAGGATTGCTTGAACCCAGGAGGCGGAGGCTGCAGTAAACCAAGATTGTGTCACTGTGCTTCAGCCTGGGTGACGGAGCAATACTCCTCCTCTCTCAAAAATAAAAAATAAATTAAAAAATAAAGATGACGAAGAATGGATTTGGGAAGAAAACCAAAAACCAGTAGGATCTGCCATAATATATTTATGAGAAAATACATGAAAACTTGTAACAGTATTTACTCTAGGAACAGGATACTGGTGACTGGGGACATAAAGGAGAATGTCCCTTTTAATATCCTTTTGAACTTTAATAATCTGTTCCATGTGACTATATTAACTAATCACACATTTTTTTTTTTGGCATATGAAAATTTATTACTACAGTGTTTTCACCATTAAAATTTATGATCTTGGTCTTTCCTTCTTGCCTTTGTATAGGGCCAAAAGAGAGACATTGGCTACTTTGACAACCTTAAAGCGAACTCCAGGAATATCACCAACAGCATGACCTTTGCAACCAAATCCAGCAACCAGAACTTCATCGTTTTCCTCAATGAAGTTCAAGCAACCATCATTGGGTACAAAGGCTGTGATTTTCTTGCCATTCTTGATCAGCTGGACCCTGACACACTTCCTAATGGCAGAATTTGGCTGCTTGGCTTCAACTCCTACTTTTTCTAGCACGATTCCTTTTGCATGAGAAGCACCTCCAAAAGGGTTGGCCTTCAGGGCTGTGCCCAGATGGGCTTTCTTGTACTGTTTATCATGCCACTTCTGGTCTCGTCGGTGGCTACGGAGCTTCCTAGCAGTACGAAGTCCACGACACTTACCCATTCTGCCGGCGTCACGAGCCTGAGCGAAAGAGAGAAGCAGCGCAGGAAGGAGCCACAAGCCACCACTAATCACACATTTTTGACAGAGTAATAAAAATGCACCATACCACATGCGTGGCAAACCTCCCTAGCTGGTTCACTGACAAGACATTTTTGTGCCTCACTCTTAACCCGTCAGAGAGGGTTAATTTGTGTTGTGAAACTTGGGCCACATGGAACTGTAAGAAATCCATTTGATTCAGGGAGCACAGGAAGTCTCATGGGCCTGCATGGGCAGGAGCCCGGAAAGGAAGAAAAATCCAGCTAAGTGTCCTGGGGGGGTGCCAATCTTCCTGAGCCAGTGGACCCAGCTGGTACTGGGCCTCCCTTATGCCCTTCCTGACTGTGGTAGGCATCCTTAGGGCGAGAGAAGGCCAGTTCTGCTGCCAGACTCTTGCCCAGCACTGCTTATACACAGAGGCAGGAGGAGGCCAGACGCCTCTGGCCAGAAGGGACTAAGGTGGGGAGCTGGGGACCAAAGCACAGCCAGCTCCCAGGAAAGCGGGTGCTGGCTGAAGCAGGAAATCTAAGGTCTCTGCCATGCAGAGGTCTGGGCTGTCCTTATAGGACTCTCATCTTTCCTCAGCCTTCATGACTCAAGAGAGCCAAATTTATGAACCTCATCATTCTTCAGTTGATGATAATTTTTAGAAAGTAGATTTTCCTTGAACATTTAAACATTAAATGTAATCAACTATACTCTTCCCAACTGTAATGACTCTGTCTCATAAATGTTTCAAATGCCTTTAAAAGTTGACAAATAATAACATAATCATCACAAAACTGGATCTGTATATGCATACTAAAACCAGTTACAAATGCTAATATGTGGCTCTAAATTTGCTGCTTTATTATTTGCAGTCAGCAGCCCTAGCAGCAGGTGGCAAGACATGTGCTCAGATGTCACTGTCCCATCCCGGGGACCTCAGAGTTGGCCATACCACACCTTCCATTGGAAGCAGCCAGACTCTCCATGGTCTGGACCACAAACCCCGACCCTGGACACATCAACTGGACCAGGGGTGAACCCTGGACCCTAACTCAGGTCTCTGTGAACTAGCCAGGGACCTGGTAAAAACCTGTACAAAGTTATTCCCCGGAAGGGGTGCAAATGGTGACAGCTGACCAGAGAAATCAGTGATTCATTCCTGGGGTGTCTGAATGTGCCTCTCAGGCAGGAGCCCCGAGGGGAAGCTGGCCAGAAGTTGCTGGCAAAGTGGAGAAAAATGAATGCCAATGTCACAGCGAGAATGGAGAGTGGGTGACACAGAAGCAGTACTGGCTCCTGACCTCTGCTGGCCAGTTTTCCTAAGGGTCCGGCTGCGAGGTTGTGCTGGGTGGCTTTCTGCTGCGAGGTTGTGCTCAGACAGGGAAAGGCAAAGAACTCAAAAGCTGTTCTGAGCCAAAGTGATGGCATGTGCAGAGGTCAAGTGCACAGGAAATGGAAGCTGGTCAGGAAATGTGTGTGCAAGACGTGAGGGAAGCAGGACTGAGTGGAGGGTGACATTGAACTGTGAGGCCTCAACTGATCCCACAGGAGCTCTGAGCTGGGATCACCCAACCATTGCCCTGAAATGAGACAAGGGGGCTTTGTAACTCCCACCCATCACTCATTTAGTGGACATAGGCTGCGACCTACACCAGGGATGGGGGTGGGGCAGAGCCCTGGGAGGGGCAGCTTCCTTCTGCCAGGGGCAATTTCATGTGAGTGATGGTCACTGTGTGTGAGGCAGGCCTGTGGTCAGAATGTGGTTGCAGAAGTCCACTCAGAGGCCAGGCCTGTTTAATCCCAACAGAACATGGGAAGGAGCTGCTATTTATGAAATGAACCTCTAAGGGTTTGCAGGAAGAGGACTGATGGGATCAGGTTTTCCTTCTAGTGTGAGGGAGGGGGAACCAGCGCTCAGGAGAGGGCTCTGGCCACAAAGATGGGTGAGGCAAATGCACAGAGGATTCTAAAGACACAGGAGTGGCACAGAGGGAGAGAGCCTGTGGAGATGAGAGGGGGAGGAAAGAGGCGTGAGCACAGCATCTGGGAAAAGTAGCATTTGCAGGCAATGTGGAGCAGGATCTTCAAAGGAGACTGAGGAGGAGGTGGGTGCAGGACAGGTGGTCCTGAGTGCGTAAGTAGAGGAAGAGAGCCAAGGGCTCCAGGAAGGAGAGAATCAGCAGCGCCAGACAAGGACTGAAAAGCCCTCCCCTCCTCCCGCAACACACACACACACACACACACACGCACACTCAAAGCCCTCCCCTTCTCCCCCCCAACACACACACACACACACACACACACACACACACACACACACACACACACACACTCCTCTCTCTCTCTGTGGGTTAATAAACTTGGAGTTTCTGGAGACTGCCTCTAGGTGGCAGTGTGTGCACATGGTATCAGCAGCTGTGCAGCATTTCCCCAGGGACTACCAGATTCCCCCATGGAATCAAGTGAAAAGTCCCTAGAGCTGTGACAGGGACAGGGAGAGGTACCTGTGATGTTTGCAGCATCCATCTGTGCTCTGCATCTAGGTGTGTGTCTCTCCCCAACTTTGTAGTGGGAAGGGGACTTTCAGTGCCTCTCCTAGCAGTGTCTGAGCCTAGAGGTCCCAGGGCCTTAGCATCTCAATCTCTGGGTGTGAGACTGAGACAGTCTGGGGACTCAGGTGTGGTCATAAAGCTGACAGTCCTGGTTCTACCACTTACCAGCTGGGTGATTCCCTCTTACCAGCTGGGTGAGCCCCCTTTCCACATTGATGTTTCTAAGTCGGAGCTTTGTGAAGGTCAGTTTGCATGAGATTGTTCCAGAAGTAACACACTATGCTTTCAAGTGGCTTTCACATCTGCATAGATCCCATAGTTCCCTGGGTAGACATGAGCAGCTCTCCACCCTGAGTGGACCCAGCTTTCGGGGCAGAGCTGGGACTTAGCCCAGGCAGTCCGACTCCTGGTATTACAGTTGCTCTTAACATCTAGAATCTGCTCCCTCCCTCGATGTCTTATTTGGCCACATCTGGAGTTTTCTTCTTTGGCAAAACTTTCTTCTCCCATGTGGAGTCATTACCGTGTGGTTAACTCACAGGCCTGAAAGGGCCCTGGGATGTCACCTACTCAACCACCTTTCCTTCTCTGCCACCTTCAGTTTATGAAATAGGAAGAGGGCAGAGAGACGCTGGGACTCCTTGTCACCACCATCTGCTTGGATAGTCTTAGATGCCATCATTAAAGGGTGCTCCACTGTGTCTTGTGCTCACACATGGGCTCCTATCACAAATCTTAGTCCTGTTTGCAGGGGACACCACTGGAAAGCAGAGGTCTTATGGCTGAGGCTGTAGTTGCAAATAAGAGTAGGAGCCTCCCAGGAGTTTGCAGATTCCTTAAGATAGATTGTTCTGGAACAAATAGGCCAAGTACTGAATGACAAGCCAAGAAATAAATTTCTGTTCTCCTTTCCCTGAAGCTTCCTGACCTCTTTTTTAAGAAAGGCAACACCAATGCAAAAACTGAGCTTGAAGTCAAAGTGCTACCAAAGATGTTGGCGCCTAGCTCATTGCCATTGCCTGCACCCCAAGTCCTGCCATATACTGATGCAGTGGCCCATCTTCCCACTAGCCTCTTGGTCCTGACTTCCTCACCCTCAGGGCCATTGGCTTCTCCCTTCTCAGTTTCTTCCACCCTGATCACCTGGTCCCATGGATACACACCTCTGTCTGACCACAGCCTCATGCCACCATATCTGTCTTCTTTACTTGCTGAGGGTCCCTCAGCCCCAGCCTCATCTTTCCCCTTTCTACCAGCCCCACCAGCTGTCCCTTCTCTCCCCTACTAGCCAAGACTAGGGATACAACACCTCAACTGCTTTATTTCCAACCTTCTTGAATCCTTTGCATCACTGCTTTTCTATCATGCTCTCCTGTCAAACCCCAAATTTTGATCAACCCTGCTTTCTGTGCTCCCTGCACTTTCACTTACCCCAGCTGCTGAGTACTGATGAAGAAGGTCATGTAATCTGCAACGTGTGTTACTCTCACTCTGGCTCTCCATTTGCAGCTGGGCTCGCAACCCTTCCCCAAACCTTCCTGCTTGCCCCTGTTCAGAGGTTTCTCTCGTTCTCTCTTAGGTTTCTCTGAAATCCTTGGATCCCACCCGATGCCCACGTACCTTCAGCAGGTGCCCATTCCATCTACTTTCAGAGAAAGTAGACCCCTTCCCTCAGGAAGCCCCACCAAACCTACAAATGTCTGCTTCCCTACCCAGCTTGTCTTTCTGCCGCCTGTCTCTATGAAAGTCTAGCTGTCCTCCAGTTTGGGGCTGTCCTCTTGTTCTGAACCCCAATCCTTCCCACCTGCTCCAGCAAGCATTTCTTCTCTTCCTCCAGACGATCCTGTCTCCCCTCTTCTCTTGCCTTCTCCCTTCATCATTTAAACATATTTGGGTCTCTCCTTTATTTTTCTTGTTATTTTCCTTTTTTTTTTTTCCCAACCCCCCTGTTATTTTCTTTTAATAGAAACAGGGTTTCAGGATGTTGCCCAGGCTTACCTGGAACTCCTGGGCTGAAGCGATCCTCCCACCTGGGCTTCCCAAAGTGCTGGTATTACAAGCATGAGTCATCGTGCCTGGCCCAAGTCTCTCCTTTCTTAAACAAACACCCTCCTGCAACCGTGTATTCTCATCATCTTGCAGCTAACAAACCTCTCTCTAATTTTCCATTTGCTGTTCAGCCCACTGTTGACTGCCTTTGACCGACTTCTCCACGGAAATATTTCTCTGAAGCTACCAACCCCATGGTTGCTCTTCGGCCTTGTTTCACTGGCCCTCTGCAGCCCTGGAAACTGGGACCACCCCATTTTTCTTGAAACACTTATTGTCCCTGGACTTTCGTCCATTCCACCCTCCTGGCTTTCCTTCTACCTCACTGGCCAGTCCTCCTCAGTCTTTTTGGTCCCTCTGCTCTCTGATTTTCCAAAGAGTCTGTCCTTGGTCCTTTTCCCTTCTCATCACCCAGTCCAAGAATAATCTCC